GTCACAGAGACCGGCCAGGACATTCCCACCTCTGCCCATCTGTCCGAGCTACAGTCACACAGTTCAACAAAGTGGCAGGGGCAGTGGTCAGCTCTGTCCTGGGGGCTACCTCAACTGGAGAGGGGCCCAGGGAGGTGACCATTCGGCCACTCCGTCCTCCCCAGAGGGCCCGGCTCCTGGAGAAGTGGATCCGTGTGGCAGAGGTAAGAGAGAGGCTTGGCCCCGTTGGGGACCCTGGTGTGGAGAGAGGTCCCAAAGCTCAGGCCTACCTCTGTGACCCCTGCAGGAGTGCCGTCTGCTCCGAAACTTCTCTTCGGTTTATGCTGTTGTGTCGGCCCTGCAGTCCAGCCCTATCCACAGGCTTCGAGCAGCCTGGGGGGAAGCAGCCAGGTGGGGAGGATGGGGCACTGGCTGGGAGCTGAGGGCTGGGAAGGGGCGTGAGGGCGAGCCTGGCCCGTCCTTAAGGCTGCTGCCCTCCACCCCCCAGGGACAGCCTCAGAGTCTTCTCCAGCCTCTGCCACATTTTCTCTGAGGAGGATAATTATTCCCAGAGCCGGGAGCTCCTCTTGCAGGTGAGGCCCTGTTCGCTGGTGTTCCCAGCCATCCCTGCTCCCCGCCCCACACCCATATCTCCTTTTTCTGTCACCACCAGGAGGTGAAGCTGCAGCCCTCTCTGGAGCCAAATTCCAAGAAGGCCCCGAGGTCTGGCTCCCGGGGTGGGGTGAGTGACTAGCTGGGGGGTGGTTGTGAAGGAGTAAGGAGTGTGTGGGGGGAAGTGGTCTGAGGGATGGGAAGAGGGGGCATGGGGGGGTTTCCGAGGCAATGGGATAGGAAAGTGCAGAGGGATGGAGAGCCCTCAGATCAGGGGTGGGCGTCTGATCCTGACCTCTGACCTCAGGGTGTGGTCCCATACCTTGGCACCTTCTTGAAAGACCTCGTGATGCTGGATGCAGCCTCCAAGGATGAACTGGAGGTCAGTGGTGTGTGTGTGTTCGTGTGTGCACTGTGATGAGGGAATGAGTGGGCCTCAGGGTCAGACAGACCTTCCAGAAAGGTGCTACAGGGCGTCAGCACTGAATTCCAGGGCTCGAGCCAGATTGCCAGCATTCTGGTTCTGTTACTTGGGCAAGTTGCTTAACTTCTCTGTGCCTCAGTAACCTGTAAATGGGAAAGCAGCGACCGTGTCTGTGCCAGTCTGTTATTATGAGAGTTAAATGAATTACTGTTCAGCAGGTGCTTAGAGCATGCCTGAAATGTAAGCCTATATAGCATTCATTAAAGAAACAGATACTGGGATCTTGGGCAAATTCCTCATTCTCTCTGAGCCCTAATTTTCCCAGCTGTGAAATGGACACCACTTGTACCTGTGACATTCCATTTCAAGGGTGAGGTAGAGTGTTTAGGGCAGGACAGGGGTGAGGGGGAGCCAGGGGAGGGACAGAGGACTCAGAGGGCTAGTGGGTGAAGTGTGTGTGAGTTGGATGTGGATGGGTGTGTGCTGTGGCAGGGTTGGGCTTCACCCCATCCCCCTTATTCTTGCAGAACGGATACATCAATTTTGACAAGCGGAGGAAGGTGAGGGGAGTGCCTGGGCCAGATGCCGGGCATCCCTAGCCATGTCCCAGGATGGGGAGACAGAGGGGAAAGTCGGGGGTCCCTGAGTTTTGGCTCCTGCAGTCTGTGGGCTCCTTCCTAGGAGTTTGCTGTCCTTTCTGAGCTGCGGCGGCTCCAGAACGAATGTCGTGGCTATGACCTCCGACCTGATCCCGATATCCAACAGTGGCTACAGGGGCTCCGGCCACTGACAGAGGCTCAGAGGTGACTGGCTGGGTGAGGTTGGGACTCCAGGGCTGGGGCTGAGTGTGGGGATCAGTGTGTCACGTCCTGACCTCTGCCCATTGGCCCTTTTCACAGCCATCGAGTGTCCTGTGAGGTGGAGCCACCTGGTACCAGTGACCCTCCTGCCCCGCGGGTGCTTCGGCCAACGCTGGTCATCTCGCAGTGGACAGAGTGAGGGAGTCAGCGGTTGGGGGGTAGTGTTTTGGGGAAGCTACTTGGGAGAAGAGCCCTTCTTCCTCTGACCCTCCCAATCTCTTGCCCCTCTAGGGTTCTGGGCTCTGTTGGGGGACCCACCCCCCTGGTCTCCTGGGACCGGCCCAGTATGGGGGGAGATGAGGTACCTGGAACCCCTGCCCCTCTGCTAACCCGGCTGGCCCAGGTGAGCTCTGTTCCTGACCTCTGACCTCAGCACTGACCAGGCCTTTGTGAACATTTCTGCCTTGACCTCTCTGCCTTCATGCCCGTCCCCCATGTTGTTTGTCCCTAGCACATGAAGTGGCCATCTGTCTCATCTCTGGACTCTGCCCTGGAAAGCACTCCATCCTTGCGCAGTCCGTCTGACCCCAGCCACCTCTCTCCCCCAGCCTCCTCTCCTAGGCCTTCTCGAGGTCACCGCCGCTCCGCTTCCTGTGGCTCCCCACTCAGTGGGAGTGCCGAGGGGGCCTCCAAGGGGGCTGGATGTGGGGGTGGGGGGTCTGGGCCAGGGGCCTCTGATTGCCGAATCATCCGAGTCCAGATGGAGCTAGGGGAAGATGGCAGTGTCTACAAGAGCATCTTGGTGAGCAAGCTGCAGGCTGCAGGGTGGGGGTGAAGGTTGATGCCTTGTGGGACTACAGATGTTGTCTTAGGTTTGAATAGTCAACTGGGAGGATGATTATAGTTTTAATTTTGATCTTTGGTTATGGCCGCTATTTTATTTAAAAAAATTTTTTTATTTCATTTTTGAGAGAACGAGCATGTGCACATGCGCATGCTTGTGAGCAGGGGTGGGAAGGGGCCGAGGGAGAGGGAGGGAGAGAATCTTAAGCAGGCTCCACACCCAGCACCACAGAGTCCCACGGGCTCGATCTCATGACCAAGATCATGACCTGAGCCGAAACCGAGAGTTGGACGCTCAACCAACTGAGCAACCCAGATGCCCCTCACCTGTTTTATTTTAAAGGCTACTTGGCATTAGCTGCTGCACCTTGAATTTTGGTGGCCATATTAGATTGTTAGAACCCACAGCAGTTTCTTCGTAGGAAAGCAGCCCTATTTCACTGGACACCGTGGAGTCCCGGGAGCCACCATATAGGGTTTCCCTGTTCATTCTGAAGTGTTTGACATGGTAGCTGTGTTTGGTTGGGATCAGTGGTTAGAGCTGAAAGGATGGAAAGCAGAGGTGATGGCCAATTTATTGCTCTTTTGGTCTCCTGTCCTACCAGGTGACAAGCCAGGACAAGGCTCCAAGTGTCATCGGTCGTGTCCTTAAGAAAAACAATCGTGATTCTGCGGTGGCTTCGGAATATGAGCTCGTGCAGCTGCTCCCAGGGGAGCGAGGTCAGAGGCCATGAGGGAAGGCAGACTCGAGAGGAGAGTGCTGCCCACCCGTGGAAACGCTTCCACATCTGGGTGGTTGTGGGGGGAATGGCCGTGTCTGTTCCTGACACTCCCTCTCTGAACATACAGAGCTGACCATCCCACCCTCGGCCAACGTCTTCTATGCTATGGATGGAGCTTCACACGATTTCCTCCTACGGCAGCGGCGAAGGCCCTCTGCTGCCACACTGGGTCTCACCAGCAGCCCTTCTGCCTCAGGAACTCCCCCAAGTGAGGGAGGAGGGGGTTCCTTTCCCAGGATCAAAGCCACAGGGAGGAAGATTGCCCGGGCACTGTTCTGAGGAGGAAGCCCTTCCAGCTCAACAGGACTCCTGGCGGCCATACCAGATGTGGGTAGCCATCCTGAATGGTGGAGGTCATGTTGCACTGGCAAGAAATTCAGAAAGGTGGCCAAACACCCCGGGGCAGTGAAGTGCCACTGGCTTGCCAGACAGCTGAGAGATCCAGCCTTGTGGGAACTAGTAATCTTGGTAACCAAGTTGGATACCTGTGTATAGCTCCCTACTTTCCATGAATACAACACACAGCTGGTGCTAGAAAAAGGAATCAATTCCTGATTCCTGGCCACATCCTAGCATGCCGAGGGCCAAGGAAAGGCCTACAAGGAGGGGGAGAGGAAAAGCCTAGAGGCTCTGAGCCCTGGGGAGAGGGGATGGCAAGAAATCGGTTCAAGTAGGGGTTCCTGTCACTGTGACAACACTAAGATAATAAACCAAAACACTACCTAAATTTTACTCCCCTGTCCTGTCCTTGCAGTGCGTATGGTCTAACTGCTGGGAGTGGGGGTAGGGAGATGGCTGAAGGTAGACATCAAGGAACAAGAAGGGGCCCAGTGTTTTCTATCCCTGTTGCTGAAAGCAAGGTGTTAGTGAAAAGTTTCCTCACAATAGTGTATTCCTCCCCAGTAACCTCTCCAACCGGGTCCCTTTATTCACTCCTAAGTTTTTCTCCTCAGTTGTCACAGACCCACATCGAGTACTAGTCACCTAATTAAAGTGATCAGTCTGAAGAACCACCCCTGGTTGGAAATTTGTAAGAAACAATTTTAGGACAAAGAAATGGAAGACAAACTTTGTGGATAATGTGTAAACTTGGAAGACTTAAAACATCACAAAGCATTCCATGTTGGGATTTTAAATCCGTCTAAGCTACATTCAAACAAATTCTAGAAAGAGACCGACTTAAGAGAGATGCCAGGGCTTTTTGGAGGATGACAAGAAATCATAGCAAAGAGGGTCACCACATTTCATCTTGGGGTCTCAGTTTAGATTACTGTGAGTTCTGCAATTAAACTGGCCTTCCCAACAATTGTGTTGTAAATGCTCTTCTCATGTTTCCTGAAAGGGTGTGCCAACCAAGATAAGGAAGAATTAAGGGTTGTATATACAGGCAAGAAGTAGGTTTGAAACATTTCAGATTTTAGTCTCAGGAAAGAAGGAAGGATTACTCTGCTGCAGAGAGATTCCAGTTACAAGACCTTGGACCTGATAGAGTAATATACGTGGTGTATAAATAAAGTGGAAGGGGCCCGGGGAACGGATGGAGACAATTATGACAGAAAGTGGCTGGTCAGAAAACAGCCAGGTGTTTTCACATTTTATTAGCTACAGTATAGACCCTAGAGCTGCCTCATTCCCTCCCCTCCCCTCCCCCCCACCAAGGGGTCAGGCCTTCCCAGAAGCCCCTGCCTTGGCTGCCTGCGCCCGCTGGAACTCCTGCTGCAGCTGAGCCAGGGTCTCCCTCTGTTGCTCTGACTGCCGTTCGAGGTCCCGGAGCTGGGATTCATATCGCTTACTAAGAAGAGGGAAGAGCGACAAAGAAGCAAATAAGGAGAAATTCATGGGACTTACTACTGAGGGTGTTGAAGGCAAGGAAGAGATTGACAGAAAACCTGAGATCTGGGAGAGGCTCTGGAAGAACTAGACAAGAGGGGGTACTCTGGAGCTACTCTATAATGGCTCCTCAACCCCTTTACACCAGCGGTGTCAGGTGCATTGCAGGTTGCGGAACAAAGACTCACATTTCAGCTGTGATATAGTCCAGCCTCTTCCCCACGGTCGCCCGAGCCTCTCCCAGCTCCTGTTTGACCAGTACAGGACCCAGAAGTTTAAAGACCACGTTGGACCCATCTAGCAGGGCCAGCTCCTGATGAAGGGATGGGACATACATGATCAGAACCAGAGCCAATACAGGTCCCTCCTCGCCCCCACAAGTCCTCTCTCACCTCCTTCACGATATTATTTTCTGTTAGTTGGGCCTCAAGCTTCTGCCGCCCCGACATGGATTTACTCAAGTCTGGGGGTTGGGGAAAAAAAGGCTTGATTAGAAACCTCAAACGTACCGCCTGATGCCAATCCTAGTGAGAAAAAAATGGAACTGAGGAAGTAGACAAGGATGCGACGGCAGGTCAGTGAGTGGGGAAAAGCACAGATGGGGAAGGAGCGGCACGCGGGGCCTCGGGTGGGGCAGAAATCATTATCTTGGTTTGGCTTTGGGCTGTGAGTGAAGGGACTGGGGCGAGGCCGCACAGACCCTGCTCCCTTACCCTTCTGTAGCTGCTGATATTTCTCCACTTCTCCCTGTAGCTTCTTCTGGATTAGATCGGCCATGGCGGGGACGAAGGCCTGCGGGGAGCGGGAGAGGGGCGCTGGGTGGTACCCGAACTCCCCTCTCTGGCCTGCCGAAATGATAGCACTCTTGAGAGGCAGCCTCCCGGGGCACCGCAGCCTCACCCCGTCCCGGAGAGCCCTCTACCCCGGCCCCAGGGGGTGGCGGGCGCAGCAAGACCCCCAAAGCCCTCAACCGTAACCCAACCCTACTCACGTTCTCCCTTCACTATTACTAAACCTGGAAGTAAACAAAGAATGCTGGGAAAAGACGGCGCCGGAAGCTGTCTTCTGACGCATGCCGGGAACTGTAGTTTTGGCATGTTTAATGACAGCTGTTCCGCCAGAAGACTGGACTCGGGAGGTTTTAGGCAAGACAGGGAAACGAAGCCGGAAGGAGAAAGCGCACCGTTACTTAGGCCCCAGCTCCAGACTACTTTTCTTTCATTGCTCGGGCATAAGCCGCTGCTTCGGATTGCGGGATCAAGGCCTGCCCCGCCCCTCGAGAGCGTAAGCCCTCACTCAAGATGGCGCCTAGAAGGCTTCGGACCTGGTAGGCGCTGATTGGATAAAGGGCAGGCGGACTTCCGGGAGTTTTCGAGGGGTCTGTGGGACAGCTGAGAGGAGTTTGCACGTGGATTGTAGTTCGGGTGGGCTAGATGGAAACAGCCCCCAAACCGGGCAGGGATGTCCCACCCAAGAAGGACAGACTTCAGACCAAGAAGAAGGTAGAAACGTCTCCTCTCTAGGGTGGAAGGGAAGTTTTTAGCTGCGGGGTCGGGGGGGGCGGGGCGCGGGCTACGGAGTCTTAGAGCTTCTGATGTGCCCGTAGAAACCGCGGAGGTACTGGGAGGAAGAAACCACTCTGACCGCTGCGGGAGCCTCTCCAGGCCCCCCTGGTAGCAAGAAGAGGAATCGTGAGCTCCGCCCCGAGAGACCGAAGAACGCTAACATCACCAAGAAGTCTCGGATCTCCAGGAAGCCTCACCTCCCGAAGAAACCCCGAGAACGGAGGAATCTTGAGCCTCAGCGGAGCGTGTCCGGGGTGAGCCTGGGAGCTGATAAGGTGGTGGGGCAAGTCGCCTTATGCTTTACGGGTGCGAGGATTGGGGTCAGCCCTAGCCTGTTTGCTAATTGTTTCCTCCTTCCCCAGGCCCAGGATCCATTTCCAGGCCCTGCCCCTGTCCCTGTGGAGGTGGCCCGGAAGTTCCGTCGCATTGACAAATCCAAAAAGGTGAGGACCAGCCAGAGAGTGGGGAGAGGTTGCAGCCGGGAGTGTATGAGTGAGTTGGTTGGAGGGGAGGCTGTGTGGCTCTCCGGGGACCCCACATGATGTCTGGTTCTTCTCCCACTTCTCCCCCCACCAATGACGTTATAGCTGCCACATTCGAAGTCCAAAACCCGAAGCCGACTTGAGGTGGCTGAAGCTGAGGAAGAGGAAATAAGTATTAAAGCTGCTCGTTCTGAACTACTGCTTGCTGAGGAACCTGGGTAAGTGGACCCTAATGTGGACCTCCTCAGGTCCTGCTTTATGAGGCTTTTCTTTGTCATTTTCATGTTGGTACATCCACTGCATGTTTGGGAGTTTACTGCAACTCCAGCACTCACTCCTAGGTTTCTGGAAGGGGAGGATGGGGAGAACACAGCAAAGATTAGCCAGGCTGACATTGTGGAGGCTGTGGATATTGCAAGTGCGGCCAAGGTGAGTCTGAGTTGAAAAGGGGCCACTGGCTGGATTGGTGGTGCAGAGCAAGATGGAAGTGGGGACTAGAAGAGGGAACAACTGAAAGGAGCCACTTCCTTCTTGATTTTTCCCCCACTTTTTCCTTTCTCAGCACTTTGATTTAAACTTGAGGCAGTTTGGACCCTACAGACTGAATTACTCCCCAACTGGGAGGTAAGGCTGGATATCAGTCTGTTGAACTAGGATGTGGTTCATTTCCTTAACCACTTCAGCCACGCTCTCCTCAGCGGTACCAGTGTATGTTCAGGCTGATGATGTGGGGAGGGTCCTGTGATTCGCTTGCATGTGAGGGTGAGCATATAGAGGAGGGGCCAGTGTGGGACAGACCTCAAATGGTCTGAGTCAGGGTGCTTCCCTGCATTGACACTCTACCTGTCCCCTACTTCCAACAGACACGTGGCTTTTGGAGGGCGCCGGGGTCATGTGGCCACGCTTGACTGGGTAACAAAGAGGCTCATGTGTGAGATCAATGTCATGGAGGCAGTGCGGGACATCCGGTCAGTGGGGATGAGGCATCCCCTTCCGATTGAATGACTGCTCCTTGACCCCCTTTCCCACTGACCCTCACCTCCCCTCCTTCCAGGTTTCTGCATTCGGAGGCACTGCTCGCTGTTGCTCAGAATCGCTGGCTTCACATCTATGACAACCAGGGCATCGAGCTCCACTGTATCCGCCGCTGTGACCGAGTCACACGGCTGGAGTTCCTGCCTTTCCACTTCCTCCTGGCCACGGCTGTGAGTGGCTGAGGAGCACAGGGACTGGGTGGCAGCCCTTGAGAAGACGGCTTTTTCTCTGGGATCCCAGTAGAAGGACAGAGGGCAATCAGGACTCATTCTGTCTCTCTCTCTCTCAGTCAGAGACGGGGTTTCTGACCTACCTGGACGTGTCAGTGGGAAAGATCGTGGCAGCTCTGAATGCTCGGGCTGGACGGTTGGACGTCATGACTAAGAACCCTTACAATGCCGTCATCCATCTCGGACACAGCAATGGTTGGTCTCTAGCTGAGCTTTGACTCTCTGACCACCCTGACCTGCTTTGCTTCTATTTGTACTTTGCAAGTGTCTTCAGGTTGCCCCTGTCCCTCCTTCTCGTTACCCCTTGGCCTTGAGACCCTGTCTTTACCAGATGTAATCACCTTAGTGCCTATTAGTAACTTTGGTTTCTCTCCCCTGACGTCCAGGTATCGTGTCCTTATGGAGTCCAGCCATGAAGGAGCCACTGGCAAAGATCCTCTGTCATCGGGGTGGGGTCCGGGCTGTGGCCGTAGATTCTACAGGCACGTAAGTCACTTGTTTGGTCACGAGGTGCTGGGGAGGTCAAAGCTGGGTAGAAAGATCTAGAAGGCAGTGTGCCTTTAGTAGGAGCACAGACTCACAGTCAAGCTGCCTAGGTTTAAATCCTAGTTGGGGCGCCTGGGTGGCTCAGTCGGTTAAGCGTCTGACTGTTGATCTCAGCTCAGGTCTTGATCTCAGGGTTGTAAGTTCAAGGCCTGCATTGGGTTCCACCATGGGCGTGGAGCCTACTTAAAAAAATAAGGAGGTAAATAAATCCTGGTGTTAACCACTGACGGGCCATGTAAGCGTGGGCACATTTCATAACCTCTGTGTGCCACACACTTTCCTTGCCCCAAGGGTAGGGATGAGTATCTCGCTCAAGAGTCAGAAAGCTTTTTCTGTGAAGAGCCAGATAGTAAAGATTTTAGGTTTTGCTGGCCAAGAGGCAAATTTGAGTGTATTGTATAGATATTTGAGTAAAGAGAAAACAAAGCATCACGATTTTTTAAGCAATAAAATTCAAAATACAATAGTTACTGAATATAGTATTTTTGTAACACGGGTCTACTAATGGGAAGAATCGGATACCTCGTTTTGAGGATAACATTTTGCTCAACTGAGGTTCAAAGTTAGTGTTCTAAATCAGCAAACCCAGTTGTAGACGTTTATCTGTTAACGTTGATCTGTGGAGAGATTTTACCTATTTTGTCTTCGAAGACATCTTTCACACACATGATGAGATAGGTGGCAGGTTATAACCGTGTCACTGTGAGTTGTCGTGCGCCCACAGTGGTGTGAAGGAATGACACACCACACGTGATGTCGGTCTTGACCGCTCTCCCGGGCTGTTGTACAAAAGCAGCCACGGAAGAAGCCAGTGAACCAGTGCGGTTGTGCTCCGATATGACTTCCTCTGCGGACGCTGAAATTTGAATCTATGTAATTTTCATCTGTTTCAAAATATTTTTTGAATTTTTTCCGGGCACTTAAAAATGGCCAAACCATTTGGAGCTTGAGGGCTGTCCAGAAGTAGGGGGTGGGCCGGATTTGTTTGGCGCACGGGCTGTAGGTCGCCAAGCCCGGGGCTTAGTTCGTAAAGCCGTCCCAGGTGTTAACGCGAGTTAAGGTATGTGGAGTTTAGCACGGTGCCCGGGGAGTATGGAGCACCGCGGTTCACCACTGGCGTCCTGGAAGGTGATCGTTCTCTTCAGGCCTGGCTGGTGATGTGAGGGGTAGGAGCGGTGGGCCTGCTCTGAATTTCTGCTCTTCGAGAGTCTGCAGCTGGCCCGCTGTGCTGAGGGGGGTGTGTGTGTGTATCTGGTGCGCTGTGTTCCACACAGGTTCCCTCGAATGGGAGTAGTGGGTGTTCCTCTTAATTCCTTTCTTTGTTAGGCACTCATGGGCACCTGCTGCGGGCGGGGCTCTGGGCTGAGGTTCTGGGGGGGTGGGTACAAGGATGAAGGGGCCATCGAGCCTGCCCAGGTGCAGTATTCCACTTTATGTACAGAGACAGGGGACTGTAGTTTATGCAAATAATTAGCCAGGAGATGTATTTAGTTTCTGTTGAGTTGTCTTCTGTCACCCCAGACTTAATGTGTCCATCCCGGGATAGGTCACCCCACTCCCAGATTCCTCCTTGCTTGCTCCCTTTCTGCCACATTTTCCTGTCAACCAGAATTTGACTCGACACCTCTAGCTACACAGCCCCATGGTCTTCAGCCATCAGTAAGGGCGGGAACCAAATTGCTGTTTGCTGGGTGCTTCCTGGGTGCCCAGGCTCTGCTGCTTGCTTTGGCGACATCACTTCATTACTGCCCATGACCCGCTGTGAAGTCCCGGCTGCTGTCCCCTGGAGGGCCCTCTGAGGTCTGTTTCTCTCCATCCTCACTGTCTCCTGTGAACATGCACGATGCTCGCAGCCACTTTCCAGCCTCTGGTTCTTCCTCCTCCTGGCGTGTCCAGAATGCTGTGGGCAGACTGATCTTTCCCACAAGCTTCTTTCCTCCTTTCACGCTGCTGCGTGGGGATCTTCTTTTTTTTTTTAAAGATTTTTTTTTTATTATTTATTTATTTGAGAGAGAGAATGAGAGAGAGAGAGCATGAGGGGGGAGGGTCAGAGGGAGAAGCAGACTCCCTGCTGAGCAGGGAGCCCGATGCGGGACTCGATCCCGGGACTCCAGG